AATGGATGGGTCCTAAATTGGTTTTCTAATTCCCAAAGGGGGAAAAATCTAGAAATGTGCCCATAAACTCCCATGTCAGCATATATCCATTTATTCTATACTAGAGGCCCGTTGCAGGAAGATTCCTGCAAGAATAGGGCTTCCTGTGGCTGGAGCAAAGCTTCCTTCTCCGCTGCCTCACTCCCTCCCATCTCCGCTGCCTCGGCTCCCTCCCTTCTCCACTGCTTCGCTCCCTTCTGCAGTGCTTGGCTTCCTTCTACACTGTCTTCAGTCTTCGCTCTGTGCCTGCATATGCAAATTAACCGCCATCTTTGTTGGGTTAATTTGCATAATTGCTCTGATTGGCTGGTGGGTGTAGCAGAGTGACACCAATTTGCATGTCTCTTTTATTAGTGTAGACATTCCTTTATAGTGGAGAATTGAATGCATCATTTCTGAACAGAGCTTTTATTTTAAGGAAATACGCAGAAAATGATGATTTCTTCAGTCTTGTCCTTGCCCTACAAACAGCTGCATGAAGCCTCCATCCAACTGTGTGGAGGCCGGCAGGGTAGACGTGTGCTCCTAGTGAATGTTAGCTTTTTATGTAATGTTTCATTCAACAGCCAAGTGCACAAGTGTTCCCAAGATATATAACTCTCCAGAAAAAAAGACATGCTCTGCCAAGTAAAGAACTATGATTTATGACAGTAACTGTTACACTCTGGGTCTTATTGGGCTTTGTTTTGAAAAATTATTACCACAATGGTTCTGCAGAATTTAGTAGTGCAACCAGCACCATTTGGCACGTTTATGACAATAGGGTTCTGGTTTTCTTAACCCCACAGTTACATGTTGGCAGCATTTCAAGTTCTTGGCACAGATGTTTAAGTGGATATAAAGAAGAAACATTAAAAAAATCAGGCAGTTTCTAGTGTCCACATGTAAGAAGGAGCGTTACTTTCTGAACATGCAGTTGGTGGGCATGGAACCATGAACTTGGTAATGGGTGACATAGCAAGCACGAAAACCATTTGCAAAGAGCTTTTAGATTTTTTTCCATGGAAGGCAGTAACATTTTTCTAGAAGCATCTCCTATTCACATCTATCAAATGAGACTCGAATTTATTTGTGCCTGAAGACAGGTTAGTTTCTGGAGCATCAATGGACAAGCAAATAGGTCCCTTCACCACCATATGACCCCTGGGGCCGCATGGTCACACTGCCATGACCCCTGGGTTTCACACTAACAATGCCTGGCTTCTGGTAAAACAGAAGCTTTCTTGAATTGAATTACACAAGTGGCAACCCTATTTCCCAAGTTGTGAAGAAAAAAAATACCATAGGAGGTAGGGCAGGAAGACTATGCAGAGCACAAAAAGGCCTTATTCTTGGTGGCGCCCTCAGTGCTAGCTACTGAAGCGAAAGTGACTGTCACCAATGGGCAAGGTGTTCCTTGACTCAGCTTCCTGGGGACTCCCCGAGGCCCCCCACCCATGAGTGGGCTCGGTCTACACACACACACACACACACACACACACACACACACCGCCACCACCACCACCCCATGCCCATCAACAAAGTAAAACAAACAAAAATCCAGTAAAAACAAACAAAGCTTCCCCCATTTACTGGCTAATGCTTGAAAATTTTCCTTAAGAGAACACTTTTATAGCTCATAATTAAAGAAAAAGCTTACACCATTGAGTTATGAGAGATGTAAGTGATCAACTCTTCCTATCACTGCCACGTGCTGTCCCTGATGGAGATATGAGGAAATCCTTGCTGGGGGGTGGGGAGTGGGAGAGAGACCAATTGTGTCACGTTCAAAATCTGTTCTAGGGCCACGTTTGTAGGGTGGTGAAGATGTCGCTCACTGGCCCCTCACTCAAGACGCTAGACAAGCATTGGTAGAGCATGAACATTTATATTTAATTTACATTTTGACAATTTGCACATAAATAACAATGTAAACCAGTAAGTAAACATAAGATAGTTTGTTGTCCTAGCAAAGTAAAAAGCCAGTAACTTTGGTCAGTTTTGACTTTGAGAGGGAAAAAAATAGAACCACTGCTGATTGTGGGCTCAACCTTCACATGTAAGAGGCCTTGGAGGGAAAGTCAGACACTACAGAGAAGCAGGAAGTCTCAGCCACTGTGCAGGTCTTGGTAAAAACTCCCACACGTAAGCAAGCACAGAGGGGGGAGAGGACAAACGAGCGGTTGGGAATAGAAAGCATTTGGTGTCAATGTCAGTGTGAGGCTTTGGTTTACCTGTAGTTAAGGACAGCGTTTGTCGAATACTGAGACATAATAAACTGCCAGTTTCGCTCCTTATGGGAACAGATCACTAAGGCTCTTGGGTTTCCCTGGATTTGTTGTTCTCTTCTGCAGGTTGGCATTAGTTGCCATGAACAGAATGCTGCATATACATATATAAACCGCATTGACTAGTGATACACCAGCTATTTAGGAAGGAGGGAGAGGAAGAGAGAAAAAATTACAATAGTAAAGGAGTAATAATGGAATTTTTATTTCCATGAATTGGGTATGACCACATAATCATAATGTGGCAAAACAAAAATAAAGCCATCTTAGATTGTCCTTAATAGTAAAAAAGCAATCTCTTTTTCCCTGGTTATGATGCAGTCCCCACCTTTGTACCAAGGTTTTAGGGTCTTTTACAAATAGTGAGGGGTGCCCAAGCTCAACAATATGATTGTGAGGTCATTGAGTGCTAAAGAAAGTCTCAGAAAGGGTTTTTTTTTTTGTTTTTGTTTTTTTGGTCTTTTCTTGCCCTTAGAAAAGTAGGTTCTTTTACATGGTTTGGCTCACAATTTAAGTGGTTATAAATATATTATATATACATGGTATAGTGGTATAAATAGATTTATAAATATACATCATTCTTTGCTACACCTTGAATGCCGACATGTAATCTTTGGGCTAAGCAGAGTAAGAGATAGAATGGCCTTGTTCTATCTTTCCGGAGCACACTTAGTTTCATCTGGAGTAGCAAATCATTAGATAAGCCATCATTTCCTGCACGACTGGACACACTCAATGAGGTAATTGTTGTTGAACAACTTTGCAATGCCCTTTCATCTTCAATTAAATTAACCATAAAATGTAAAAACACAAATACTGAGGAAAATCGGAGTTTTACAGAAAGAATACAATTGATGTGTTGGGGATAGGAATGCTCATTACCCGCTTTGACCCTAAGACAACGAGAATACCCGTTTTTGGTTTTTTTTTTAAGTGTGGCCTGAGCCCATCTACCTCAAATCCTTCCTGGTGGAGCACCATGTTTGTGCAATTTTAACATGACAAATAAAACAAAAACCCAACAACAAAAACATCACCCAGACTCAAGCCCCTAAACCTCACACACACAAAACCATCTGTGCTTTGGAAATGTTTCGCAGTGGTTTTAAACATGGCATTTTGTCTTCTTCACATTTTTAGATAATAAGGTGGGAATGCAAAAGTCATGGGGCCACTCTGAATGGTCACATGACTCTAGGGGTGCGGTGACCCTGCTTTTTGGAGAGGGAGACAGGTTGTCACCTTTTTAGTAACTCTGTGGCTAGGGGGAAAATAACCGCACTATCTACAGAAACATACAAGATTCCCTTTCTTGTTTATTCTACTGGAAGTTATTACCGGGTAATTCTGCACACATACCCCCAAGTTATGCAATGCTGTTCAAATGACATGATCCTATGAATTAACACAACAACTGTCTATTTTTGGCAATACCAAAACCTCATTTTCAAACCATTATTACAGAAGGAGGTTGACTGAAGTCATGTATTTGATTACTAAATCTTAGGTACTTTAACAGATGTGCAGAGATTGTTTACAAAGAATGGCCACAAGACAAACATATATAACATCTATACTCAAATTACAAGGAATTTTTCCAGTCATTGTAAACGTTTTTTAATTATTGCTTTTTAAATGGTAAATTGTATAATAAATTATGAAGGATTAATATCATTGAAAAAATAATTATGGCTAGGCAATATTCTTAGCAATGGGAAGGCTATGCAAACATATTCACACAAAATATTCAAAATACACAGGTTCAAATATATATATGGGGTAAATAAGTATATATAATATGTATAATATATTGTCTTTGCTCATTTATGCCCTGAGATTTCAGTAACTCTGGAGCTCCTTCTTCAATTCCAGACAGGTGAGGGAGAGCTTTGCGGCCCTGGGTCTATGTACAAGGAATCTGCTACAGGCACCCTGACTCGCCAACTCGTAAGTTAAGAAACAAAATAAGACACTTTTTGTTTCCTGAAAATCTTAAGGATCCACTGGTTCGACTGTTTCTTGTTTGACCTTGACAGGTCCCAGAGGTAGTGGGTTGCTGGGAGGCAACTTCATGAGGGACAGGTCTGATGACTCATAGAGGTTACACCCTGAGAGGAGTCCATTCCCCAGGTTTCTTTGCAAAGACACTTTCAGGCCAGTTTCTTCTTTCTCTTTCCTGACCACGGCCAGGATTTCCTTCTCCACCACAGAGGAGGTCACATCGATGTTGTCCTCCATGTCCTCGAGCCGGTCGGCATTGTCACTGATGTCAAACTTCTCGATTTCTTCGTTGATTCGAGTCAGGTCCTCCAAAGGCAGCCCCGTGGTTGGGGCCAGAGGACAGTTCCCCTTCAGGTGGACCTTGAGGCTGCAGAGATGGATGTAGCTCTTGTGGCAATGGGCGCACTTGTGGGGCCGCTCCCGGGTGTGTAGGCGCTTGTGGAGTTTCAGGTGCACGAACTGGGTGAACTTGGCGGGGCACACCTTGCATTGGTAAGGTTTCTCTCCGGAGTGGAGTCGCAGGTGGGTCTTGAGATTGCTGGTGCTGCTGAACCGCTTGTGGCAAACCTGCAGTGTGGGGAGAGGGGAAGACCAGAAGATTAAGAGTTGCCAGCGGGAGGGGCAAGCTTACAGATGATGCCCAGCAGCCCGGGAGGGGAGAAGCCTCCCTGTGGCACCGATGGTGTGGCATTAAGCAAACAGGGCGATGTGGCCACACTGCACACGAGGTGGTGTTTATTTCCCCTACCATTTTCCACCCACTGGGAGCTGGCTGTGTCATCATCTACCTTGCACCAGGGCTGCCAGCCCGTGCCAAGGCCGAGTTCTTGTGTTGGCTAATCTATGGGCTGCATGGCCTGGGGAGGGCAACTCCTCAGATATTTCCTACAAAGGTCAAAAGTGCTACCCCCCAAAGACTGCCCACCTGGCATTCATGTGGCTTTTCTCCCGTGTGGACCAGGTAGTGTTTCTGCAGGTGGGCGAGCTGAGTAAAGCCTTTGTTGCAAGTCTGACATTTGAAAGGCCGTTCTCCACTGTGCACTCGGAGGTGGACCTGGGAAGAAGCCACATGTGTTAGCTCTGCTCTCAGTTGCCCGGAGGACCCGGCATATATGATGCAGAGATCTTCAGAAAAGCATCGCGATAAAGTCTTATACAGAACAAATAAAGCCCTGAGGCTTTCAGGAGGCTTTGTTTTGTTTGTGCTAAAGGAACAGAAGCTACAGGCCAGCAGGGACTTTCAGCTGATCTTCTAGCCCAGACCCCGTGTTTTCGTCATTCAGAAGAAACTCAGGAGAGGGGAAGTCACTTGTCCAAAGCCACACAGAGCCCGAAGCGCCAAAAGCAAAGTCAAACCCACGTCAACTATTCCCGACCCGGATCTCACGCTATTGAAAATGAAATTGATAAGCTGTGGAAAGCGAGCTAAATACAAACATGCCTAACGCAGGTACAGACACTAGCAGACAGGCAGACTGCTCTTACTGGGAGGCCTACCTTCAGGTTTGAGAGCTGGCCAAAAGTCTTGGAGCAGACATTGCATTCATACTTAATCTTGCCATTCTGCTTCTTGAGGGGGTAGGGGAGTGTCTTGTAGCCAGTCATGTTCCTTTTATTTTTTATGAGATTCATGGCCTCGTCACTGCTGGGGGCTGCCATCGCTGCTGAGGTAGCTTTGGGCTGCACCACGTGTTCCGACGTGGCAGCTGTGCCCGCAGTGGGCGACCCGCTGGTGGGGCTGCATACCTTGTCCTTCATGCTGGCGGCGGCCCCGGTGAGGGAGAAGGCACTGCGGGGCGTTGGGACCAGCACCTCTCCGGGATGTTCCGGCTGCAGCAACCTCCTTGCTCCTTCCGAGGGCAGCGAGCTGGGCAGAGTGGGTGGGTTGAGCATGGGGTGAGGCAGGCTGCCCCCACCGAGGAGGTTACTGTAGACGGGGTACAGCCTGGGGAAGAGGCCGAAGTTGCTGATGCCATTGATGCTGCCCATGGTGCTCAGGCCATTACAATTCATGCCGTAGGGGGGCAAGAGGAGCTTGGGGTAGTGGCCATTGTAGGAGGGGATGAAGGCTGGCGGGAGGTGGTGGGGAGGCGCGTATCCAGGGTAAGCACCCAGACCTTCAGAGCCGTAGGGCGGGTTCAAGTAGGAGTAGGAGTAGGAGTCCCGGTGATCTTGAGGCCCCGGAGCCAGAGGCGACACGGTGTTCCCTGGGCTGCTGTGAGGACTGGAGCTTTTGAGGCTTTGGTCCGGGCTGCTTCTTGCTGAGGGACTGGGCGTCGTGGAGGACGGGATGGGGGAGTGAGGGATGTACGTCGGCCTCTCCATCCCATAGGCCAGGGAAGCTTTCAAAAAGTCTTCCGGGAGAGGGGCCCGGATCGGGTACACGACCCGGGGGTAGAAGGGCATTTCGGGGCTCCCATTCTTCCTGAAGTCATCCGTGTCCTTTTCTGAAGTGAGGGGTGAAATGTGTGAACGGTACAAGTCCTTTCTTTTGGAGGGGCTGGAGTCCAATTTTAGGATTTCTTTCACGCTGTGCTCTCTCTTTGGGGCGTTCCTTGGGCAAAGGTCATTTTTCTCAGTGCTCTGCTGCTTTGAATGGCTCTGTGCTTGTGCTGAAACAGAGAAGAAGGGACGATTACTCAGAGGGGTACAGAGAACTGAAGTGAAATTGCCCAGGTGGCTCTCTCCCTGAGAAAACCTAAGCACCAGCTGGCCACGTGCGAGACACCTGCTTTCTCGGCGCCTCTCATTCTAGAGGGCCCGGCCCCTCGAAGCGCCGCTCCATTTCCTTCTCAGCACCGTGGGGCACTGGCAGCATCGGTCAATGGAGCGAACAGCGCCCTTTAGATTACTTTGTTTCCACTGACAAAAAACACCCCCTTATGATGGAAAAGTGCTGTGCAGGCTAGAACAGGAGAGCTTCCATTAAAATGGGGTGGAAAAATACTGGGGTGGGGGATGTCATAGGTTAATAAATGCCATTCTGAGAAAGTCAGCACACCCTGCGAACTAGATGTGAAAGATTAAGACTCATTTCAAGTAATAAGCAGTCATCAATTTTCACCTTCGTTCTCATTTAATACGAATTTGATAAAACCCTGTTCAAAACTGTCTGTGCCAAATAGACAGATTAGAAACACAGATGCCACCCCTTCCCTTCGATTTGCTGACAACACAAGAATTTCACCACGGCTCTGTCTGGTCTACCCAGGCTCCCAGCCACGCTGTCCCCTGGAATCACAAGGCATGACACAGTCCTCCTGCCAAACCACAACAGGCACTTTCCGAGCCAGTCCAATTACTTAGAGCACCAAAGAAAACAGGCAGCCAAGATGAAAGCATTTATTCCCAAAGCCGGCACACTATGACTCGGTAAATATACTATTTAGGGACAGCAGCCACGAGGAGGACACTTCCAGACTCCCCAGGCCCTCGCCAACCCTGCCTCCAAACACACAGCACAGACGGTGCCTTCAGGAAAGCACCAGTCGGAGCAGGGAAACCAAAAATTCCCTGCTCAGCCTGCCTTGGAAAGCAAAAGTAAAACATATGCTGCTGAGCTGGAGCTCAGGTTCTTGGAGGGCAGCCACTCCAGCGTGTACACCTGCCGCAGCAGTGGCAGCAGACTGAAGGCATCAGCCACGAGAGGCAGGAGAGCTGGTGGGGATCAGGCTGAGGCCTCCGTAAAGTATCATTCATCATCTTTTAAAAAAAAGGTCCCTGTTTGATTTAACTGAGAAGGAACTCCAGGCTTGACATCCGATAGGTCTAGAAATGAGCTCTGTGGAACTCCAGATTCTGAGCTCTTCAAATCCATTCTCTAGGTTGACAGGCTGGAGGGATTCGATTCCCGCGTGAGAGCCCCTCGGAGAATGTTATCTGCTGCTGGCTGTTATCAGTTACTCCGGGTGAGCCAGCGGCCCCAGAGTAAACACAGCCAAGACACTATCGGGGAAGATGCTGATGGGGGCAGTGATGGAAAGCTTGTTGAGGGAGAGGGATTTCTGAAGCCACTAAACCAAAATAAATATCCCCTTATCAGGCCAATATCGATCTTTCAGTGAGGCCCAGCAGGCAGGAAGTTCAAATTGTCACTTTTGTTTTTTAAAGCCTAAATGGTAAAGGAAGATAGACAACGGAGTGGGAAAACTGATAGGCGAGACATCTATCTCTCAGCCACAGGAAGGAATGTTAGGCAGGCTGAGAAAGAGCGACTCAGAGGCATCCCCATAGGCCCACGTTAACAAAAAACGCCATCCTAATAAAATGAAATACAGACAATTCACCATCATCATTTTCTGCCATTTTTACATGGCAAATTACATCTAAGTCTCTTCCTTTTTCTGGCAACTTCAATACTCTCTCAATTCTAAAATTCAATAAATTAAAGCGAAAGTAAAACGTTTAGGCCAACCATAGCCTTGTTCTTCCTATTTAGTTAGGTGTTCTTACTAAGCGCTTCAACAATTCATTTATTGAATTGAAAGAAGCTAATGATTAGGCCAACAAACAAGAAAGTCGTAATTCATCATTTTCTAGGTAAAATATTTAACACAGTGTCCGGCATATAGTAAATCCGCAATAAATGTTGGCTATCTCACATGCCTTTCTACAAACAAATTTATGTCTTACTCCAAAACAATATCCCGAGGGAAGGGTAGTTCCTCCTGAGGAGTTGTGAGGTGGACATCATGCCATCCACAGAAGGCACATTTTTAAAATCATCCTTAGCAGCTGAGTAATCAGGGGAGCTGGTGTCATTTCTGAATCTCCCACTCAGCAGCAGCTTGAGTTAACATGAAAAGGAAAATCAAGATCTGTTTTTGTTCTTAAATCTTACATGGCTGTAGGCGTACAGAGTCATTTCAAGAGTGAACTGCTTCTGAAGGCTCTGAATGGCTTAATTATGCCGACTCACATTTTCGATCTATAATAAGAACCCCCAAGACTACAAGAAAGAACCTAGAAGTTCTGCAATAGGCAAAACAAAGTCTGTTTTCAACTGAAACTGAGAAAGCAGATGAACATTTAGAAGTCTATAATTTGGTCAACTGTTTTCTAGATGGGTTAGTAAGATAGATAGAAAAAAATACCAAAAAAACTTGGGAGGGGTAGGAGTTCAACTAAATAGTTCCAACTCCTTTTATTTTGTTTTTTAAAAAAATGCCAATTTGTGATTTCTGAATACTTATTTTTCTTGACCTCAGTTTGCATCAAATCTCCTCTCAACATTCTACCAGTTGAGCCATCACTGCCACTGAAAGCCCTCATGGGGATTCTGGCATGGACCTTTTTTATGCTTGATGCATGGAAACCCAACACAACTCACTTGCAGACACAATCTACCTGTTAGGCCTGATGAAATAGTGGAAATTTTCCTGATCAAAGTCTCAATCATCAGTTACCACGCCTAAGACAACTGGTTTCACAATCGGCAGTAGGAGTCTTGGCTTAATGTGACTAGTATTGTTACCTTTCATTCTCTACTATGAATACTGGACAATAAAAGGGAACTTGGGAATGTTAGACCAACATTTAGGAAAAAATTCTGCATAAACAATAAGGGATATTTGAGGGAAGAAAGGTGTCATTTCACAGTACACAAGAATGTTGCTTCTGAACACAAAGGGTATGCCCGAGTCTTAAAATACTGTGCAAAACTTTTCATTGGGGGATAAAAATGTAAGACCTTAAAAACCTTTCTTTGATTGGCAGAGAGTGAGGGAGGTATGCAAAATCACTGGTTGGTACAAAATCACTGGGATGCATCACCTCAAATGGAGTCACTGTTTAAAAAGAAGAAATCAAAGTATTTCTCTGAACCCATGACTAATTTAGCCCACGGACTGTAAGGAGACCCCCAAGAAGAAGTGACTTGCTATGCTGAGAAAGTTAGGAGGAGACTGCCTATCTTCCCAGGAGATGCCCTGCTGGAACATAAGTTGTCTTTTACCACCAGGCCCTGAGTACTAGGCCTGGCACATACAGATGGTGAAAAAGCTGAATATCTCCTTAGATGCTTGGCTCTGGGACAGGACAGCAATTCTTGGGAGCAGTGAAGAGAAATGAGGGAAAAGAATGGTCACCTTCGCCTAGGACCTGATTATACCCATCATGCTTATGTTGGAAGCCAGTTTATTTCCAAACATTCTAAGACTTCCTCATGAAGCTCAAGGTGCACTGTGTGTGTACGTGGGCACGTGTGTATCAATGGGCCACAGACACAAGCCTGTGGGGAGGAGATCCATAATCTTTTATATTCCCCGTTTTTCAGCAAACTGTAAATAGTCTTGAGATCATAAGGAGATGAAGTAGACTCTGTGGATGAGCACTAAATAGCTACAGAGTTGGATTATACCTGACGAGGATAAGTTGGTCCTAGAGCTGAAGTAAAAAATTCTAATTTATGCTAATATTAATATTATTCCAAAAGTCTCAAAGATGAAAGTGTGAACTAAAACAATTTAGCCTTCATATAAAGCAAAAGGGAAAGCATATCAATGATTGATGAATCTGGGTAAAGTGTATCTGGGAATTCTTTGTACTATTCTTGCAACTCCCCCTTAAGTTTGAAATGATGTCAAAACCACAAGTTACAAAAATTTCAGCATTTAGACATTAAAACTTTTAAACCAAAAGGTCTAAAATTTTACTTTAAAAATTTAAACTTAATTTAAGAAACTGCTTTTTTATGTAGCAGTGTAACTGAGAACACACAAGCATAGTTACAACAGGTTGGAATGTTATGGTAATTCTTAAATCATTCATAGAGGTCACCTGAGAAGGACTAAAATGAAGTAGACCTTTGCAGAGAGGGAAGGACAACAACTTCCACCAAATAAAAAAGTAAAGGCTTATAAATCTAAGGAATTGAGAATTTGTTACGATAAAGTGGAAAGTGGCTACTTTCATACTGATCAGGTGATCAGATAAAAGGAAGCTAAAATATAAAATCTGTTATTCATTTAGAATAATATTTGAAAAATTACAGCTGCGAGTTTTTCTAGAATCAATCTCCTATGTTCCACATCAGACCATAACTTAATAACCAAATGGGCATCTCTACAAGATTTCAATGCATATTTTAAGCACCGACAAATTACCACAAACAAGGCGGGGGGGTGGCTTTTCCCTGCCAAGTCAGCCTGTCAGAACCAATCTCTATCTTACTCCTCCCTGCCCCCTTTCAGATAGATTAGAATTGGACATATATTTCTTCTTGTGACTTTCTGAATTAAACACTCAAAGTAGCTCTTGATATTTTTTTAAATGATCAAGTTTTATAATAGGAAATAGGCACTAAAATTCACCCCTCCCCTCCTTCTGAGGGCCTGGTTTAAGCCACCTACTTGGCCCAACCGATGAAGCCATATAATTAAACAACATGTTATTAGCTCAGAGGGGCAGGACTGACATGACTGGCATTTAACATTTTTTTGTTCTGTAATCCACTTACTGAGATTCATCATTGTCAGCTCTCCAGGATAAGGGTAATGCAGCCTTTCTGCAAAGTCCCGACAATACCACACAAGCAGCTCCTGGTTGGCAGGAATGGGCTTAATGGTGTAGAAGTAGATGTTCATCCCATTCTGGCACGCAGCCAGGTTTTGCTCTTGGGCAGAGTGCGCCGGATTCACGTAGCGCATCCAGTTGCTTTTCTCCTCGTTAAAGCCATCGATGAAGTGGTGAAGCTCCCCTCTGGAATAGATCTGTCCAAAAGAGAAGACAGACGGGTTGGAGAGAGTCAGCCCCCGGCACCTCTTAAGAATCAACACAGCAAGCACATGTGTGACTTCTGGTCCCCTATCGCCTAGCTAGAAAAAGAAGCAAATCAGTTTGGCCCGAGTAGTCTTGAATCAGCAGAAATAAGGGCAGAAACAGGTAAGGCACACTGTCAGTTACCTTTTCCATCTCGGTGTTATCGTCTTTTCACGTGTGGGGGGAAAATAACAAAAGGGTGAAACACAACATTTAAGGAGCTGCCTCAGATGAATGAAAACAGCCGAGTCCTACTTTTGCCACAGCAGCGAATGACAAATGGGTGATGCTACAAACTTGAGTTCCGATTATGCTGACTTTTAATGCTTTGAGTCACTGTGTAGAAGACAAGCCTACTGAGTACGTCAAACCGAGTCTCTCCACTTTTTCTATGGCCTCTGTACTTGCCATTTCCTACACCCCCGCCCAAGGCTTAAACTATGCAAACATCCTCCACCCCCAAGCCTCGGAGTCCAGAAGTAACACTTGTTCATATAAATACTTGGAACCTTGCCTTTTTGTGGAAGCACTGGGTGGGGCAAAGGTGAACTTCACCTGGCATAACAAAGTGAAGGCTGGGACAGGAGCCAGAATCTGACAGTCTCCCAAGGAGTCACTTTTCCTCTTGATAAACATGTTCAGCCTTGCCAAAGGAGGGGAGAGGGAACCCTCTTATCTGTGAGGAGGTTGGCTGAAACGCCACTCACAGAGCCATAGGCATGTGCTTTTGGGAAAAGAACAGGAAGACACCATGTCGTCCTTTAAAGGCAACGCATAAAGCAGATTTCAAAGTTTGCCTCGTAGTAACACTACTTCTGTTTAACAGATGCACACAGACCACTCGGGGAAAAAGGCAGAGGTAAGAACAGGAAAAACCAAAATATACATCCTTACTGAAACTGCTCCATCATGAAACTCCTTACCCTTCCACAGAAAGCTGCTCTCTCTCCCTCTTTTTAACCTGTACCACACCTTGTCTTCAGACCTAAGACATTTCCTTACACAGCTACAATCAATACCTGGTCATCTGCAACTTGTCGTCTCCAAGCAGTGGGCCACGGCTCGGACCGGAGAGCAGGTTACTGCTTTGTTCTCAGTCACATACTATGTGAGTCTATAAATTGATTCTATATTTCGCTCAAACGTTATCAGAGATAAAAAGGAACTCTGTCCCTTTAACACGGGCAGTAAACACCAGAATCACTTTCTTTTAAGAGTAACTTCCTGTAAATTGTGAAGGGGGAAATACATGTGGCTTCATCAAAGCAGCTTGTGAGAGCGTTTGCGGTGTGTGTTGTTAAGAGAAAATGGAACAAGGCTGGGTGAATTCTGCTATCAAGAGGGGTTTTCAAGTTTGTTTACTCTGATGTGCAAACTTCCAGGAACATGGGGTTCCATCGCTCTTGCACTCTTCGTTGGGCGGAAACTGCTTTCTAAAGCTACGGGTATGTTGATTCCAGTCAGCCTTCCACAGACTACAATTTACTGTATCCTCATTTAAAAAAGAATGATTGATGCCATGAAGTCACACACAAACACACACACGCGAAAATACGCATACGTCAAGTGAACACTGCTCCCTGTCACCTCACTACATTTCCATACATTATCAAGAAGATTAAAAAGTGCTGACTCATAGTACAGTTACAAGAAATGTCACTGGTTTCTCAACTTGCACATCCCTTCTCTTCTCTTTGACTGTGTAATTTGCATGAAACTTTTTCTTTCCTCAAACAGATGTCCATATCCCTGCCAGCAAAATCAGGATGCTTTTAACAACATGTGGGGAGTCAGCTCCTACAACATCCTTTGTATGTGAAAGACTGATTCAAATAAATCCTCCCAAGGACAGCATTTTAGTTACTTAGAGTGAATCGTGAATGAACCAGGGAACTGGGAGAGTGATAGGAGGTTCTTAGGTGTTTCTTGCCTTCGTCAAAATGACCAGGCATTAATGAGACTTATGCTAGCTTCTCTTCATTCAGACCTACGAATGCAGAATTACACACCTCTATGTTTCACTTCTGAAAAGATTATATTGGCAATAAAGGCAAAAATGCACTAAGATTTTTCCCATTGTAACTCATGTATTTTAAGCATGAGAAAGTTATTAAATAAAAATTGTGAGCACACAACTCTCAGAGCTCTCATCTGCTTGGAAAACAGAATACTAGATTTCTAAAAACACAAAACTTCCAGGCTTTTGAAAAAAATCTTGTTTGTTAGGAACAGCTTCTGAATGACCCCCAAATAAGTATTTTATCAAGATACTTGTCTAAAAGGTAGAAGTGTTCTAGATAAATACTGGCCAAACTAAGTGTAATCCAATTTTTGTTGTTATCATGCTGCTGTTTCTGAAAATAATTCAAACAACGATTCCCCAATTGTTGTGTGCTTCTTATGCAAGTATGTATAAAAATTTTCTTTTAAATTTTGTAAGAATACCTTTATTTTCTAATTGAGGAAATGAAATATCCTGCAGAGAGCTATGGGAAGATGAAAAGCAGCCCAATTTTTTCTTGTTCACTCCTAATTCAGAGTCTTTTACTCAAGGATTTCATCTAATTAGTCCACCTCTGAGGTCCCTTCTAACCCTGATATTCCAAAGGAAATTGTATTGGCTAGACTTTTGGACTGGATGTTATAAGAAAGTTTATCATCTTGCATGATTGTAAGCATTTCCCCAAAGCTATGGATGTAATCTACCTACTGGCAAATCTGATAGTTTTATGGTGCAGACAAATTTAATGTGTTTTTATTAATTTCAGAGAGAGGAGAGGAAGGGAGAGGGAGAGTGAGGTAGAAACACCAATGATGAGAGAGAATCATTGATTGACTGCCTCCTGCACACTTCCCACTGAGGATCAAGCCCACAATCCGGGCATGTGCCCTGACCAGGAATCGAACCATGACCTCCTTGTTCATAGGTCAACACTCAACCACTGAGCCATGACGGCCAGGCTGGTGCAGATGAATTTAAACAGGACTAGTTCTGAGGTCCATCTCCATTCCCCTAGTGCTATTTTCTATGACTAGCCTTCCTTAATGGCATTTTTTTCCAAGATTATTCATTTATAATTATTCTTCCACTCAATTAAAGTTAACTCAGCAAGAAATCAAGAAGAGGTGAAATCTAAGACTTGGTGACTCATTACTACTTCCTAGCAGAGAAATGCAAATGAGCCTACCCTTAAAGCAAGTAACAAACTGTTTCCTTTCTTCACATAGCTCAATGAATTGCAAAAATTAAGATTCACATATAGTCCATATCTTCATCCTAATCACCTATAACTGTTGTGTTTCTAGGGCCAAAAGTTTAGCCAGTTTCATCACACTTGCTTAGGATTCACTATGTCCATGGGGATCTGAATACTTGTGGTGAGGCCCAGTACAAGTTGAAAAAGGAAGTGACCTAGCAATTCTAGCTCTACTTTTTCTTAATGAATCTGGAAAAATTTTCCATACTTACCCGCCAAAAATATTTCCTATTGGCATTCTTGGGAACTGTATCGTTGGTGTAGATTTCACCTATTAGAGGTCCAAATCTTGTTCCCTTTGGTATATATTCTTTACTTACTACTCCAATAACCTAAAGGAGGTAAAGCATATGAAACAATTACTTTGACTGCAATATATTAATCAATCTTTTTGTTTTTATGAGATGTCAAGTGGTAATGCAACCAATGGCGCCTATATAATTAATAACGTGCTTCACCTTAGGGGAAGACCTTTTTTTTTTTTTTTTTTTTTTTTTTTGGAAGACCATTTTTAAACTTCCAGATCATAAACAAATATTCAACCAAGCATTAAAATAGTTGCAGCGGTTCTCAACCTGTGGGTCGCAAACAATGAAAATATATCCTGCAGATCAGATATTTACATTACGATTCATAACAGTAGCAAAATTACAGTTATGAAGTAGCAACGAAAATAATTTTATGGTTGGGGGTCACCACAACATGAGGAACTAACTGTATTAAAGGGTTGCGGCATTAGGAAGGTTGAGAACCACTTGTTCTCCAGTGACTGAGGGTCTTTTATTTTTGTGATTACTTTTTATATTAGAAGAACAGAGAGGTAGCCATTCTGCTTTAGAACGGGAATCAGATAACACAGAATTAGATGGTCAAGGTTAGACCAATTCAGCCCGCTCCTAGTTTCTTATTTCTCTTCTCCTTCAAACCATAAAGACAGTGTGCTTGAGGGGAATAAAGTAGTTTTAACCTCAGAAACCAAAATAATGCTCTTTGGTTGTTCCACAAAGGCCTGAGGAACCAGAAACCAAAAACATTCTATTTTTTTTTCAACCCAGATGAGGGTGTTGCTTTTTTATTTTTTTCCTTCATAGCTTGTAAGTTCTCTTTATAAGAAAGATCTTTCAAAGTAACTTTTGTTCTTTTCTAGCATCTTCTACTCAACAGTGGTCAAAGTCCTCCTTTGAAATGAAATTTATACTGAGGAGAGTTGTGGGTTCTGAGAGCCTCGGGTTCTAAGATCAGAGGAAGTGACCTTCTCAGACTGGATGTATCACACATTCTGACTTTGTAGGGTTTTACTAAAGAAACATGTTAACTATGCCAGTTCCTCCTTGATCGTAAATTTCTTTAAGGGGGTGAAAAAAAAAGTCACCAACCACAAATCAGGAAGCAATTCATCACTATTGACAAAACTCCTCTGTAAGTAATCCTTTATAACATTTTGCAATTATAGTTTTGTTTTGTTTTTTATACACTCACTTTCCCATTTTTATTTTCTTCCCATCCAAAAAAGCCTACAAGTTAGTTACTAAATGTCATAATGAAATGGACCAAGATGGGAGGTAAGACAATATTTGTTTCTAGTTTTTATTATCCCTGGTGGTTCCTGCTTAATTGTGTAACTGAAATGGAGGCCGAAATATGTAAATCAATAAATGTTCACAAAGAAATCTAAGATTTTGGTTATGATATGCACTGACACTTCATTAAATTGCATTAAGAGTTCAAACCTCTGTTTAAATGCATATAGAGTAGGCACACTTCTTTTTATATACATTTCTTATCAGCCAATAATTTTAAAATTTATTTGAATTTTATTTATTTATTATTTTTAATACTTTTTATTATTCAATATATAAGCCAATGGAACATACACAGACTGGAAAGACAGAAAAAAATTTTCTACCCCTAACACAAGTTGAAACAAGGTTGGTCAGCTAGAATGTTATTTTTGGTCATTTATGAATTTCTGGCAGACAGGTGAAAAAAGCAGATGTTCATTTCATCCTCTTCCTCTGCCTTCATTTACATCCATCTGCCCTTTCAATAACAGTTCGTCATTATTGGTATTTGTTGGCAGTACAACTACTGGAGACAGGAGTACCTCAGAACAGTCTTGAGATAAAAACATATACTAAAGCTTAAGTGGACTTACTTATTCAGAGGCTCATTGTTTATAATACATCATAGAACCTAATTAATTGGAAAAATTCATGGAATTGATTTCTATGACACGCAAACCATTTGGCATTCATGTTTGAGTGATTGTTCCATAATATTAAAATGACAAACAGGAAAAACAAATAATGTCATTTGTTGGTGAGCCAATAATTAGCAGTTGATATTTTCAACATATCCACTTTAAAGCAGTAATTTTAAGAAAGGTACTCAACTGGTTCATCAACTTTGTTTTAAATTATAGTCTCTTGCAGACAGTGTGTTAGGAGTCAGAGCTTGATTACCAACAAGGAGCCTTGCATTGAGGTCAGGGTTTTTCTTCCGAATTGCCATTCTTTTTAACCCCGGGCCTCTTGGTTTTCAGATACCAATCTCACATTAAGAAAACACATCATGTTCTTATGGACAAAGGCCACCTACAAATTTAAGGAAGATAGAAGCCACCCAATACCTATTTGAGCAATATGGGCGAATCACTGGGGAAGCTATAAGGCACTATTAGAAGTAACTCTTCCCATCTGTGACCTTACAAATGCCATACAGCAGGCAAGACAGGAGAACAACTAGACAGAGGAAGGTGTGTGGTGGAAGAGAGATCTATGGAAATCTCTAAGCCCCAAACAAATAAAAGAACCTCGATATTAGATTAACTTTACAAGTGGGACAGAGTCTTAATATTTTAATTACGTATAACACACAAAACTGTAGGATACAAATAAACTCATGTATGTAGATAAATAGAGACACAAGATCACATAATTTTTAGGTGGGAAGGAATTGTGTAGCTAATATGCCATCTATATCCGTGCTCAGTCCAATACTCTAATACACAATAAAAACCTTCACCTCAAATCCATGTCTGAGACATTATTCAAAGAGGACATAACAGCTGCAACTCCAAGATTACAGTACTCAGCCAGGTAACTAGGAAGGGGAATAGGAACTGAGGGTTTTTCTTAAATGGGAAGTGGAAGACTAGGTCACAGTCTGCCTCCCGCCCTGGAAAGATGCAGCCAGACGTGAAGCTTAGCCAACAACATTCCATCCTTGGAGCAAGCACAAGACACAGAGGAGCCTGGTGTGTGCCCTAACCCTTGCAGTGCTAAGAAGACTAAGAATGTGTTCACCTCACTCAGGAAGCAATCGTCACTGGAACTGACCAGGGTCCTAAAGAATTTCTGCTGGGGACAGGCTGCTGTTCGCCTTCCATAAACCTATCAGCGAGACCATGCTGACCTCAACACTTCTTGCCCCCAGAAGCTCTTCAATGTCATAGGTTATGTGAGGAGTTGACCCCTCTGCCACATGAGCAGATCCATCTCTATCAGTGGCCCCAGTCACAGAACATTCAGGTCGGTGACTACTAGACAAAAATGAAGATTTCACAACTTAGGATGGATGGGGTCGGGGTGGGGGAGAAATAAAAATCTGATAGCAAGGAGAATGTAAGTTTTTTGTTTGTTGTTTAAAGCAATTCCTCCTTTAGGGAGTGTATATACACACACACACACACACACACACACACACACTAGTGGGTTTTAACCAGAAACAGCATTCAGGTCTAAATGTGCTGTGAGCATCCTCAGCCCAGATGCCATTAAGATCATTTTAATTACTAGCTATCTCTCCCCTTCCTCACCCCCACCCCCATAAAATGCCTCATTCGATTACAATTATAAGGATTATCTGCAATGAGATGACTAGAACTGTTGTGGACCACGACTTCAGCCGGTAATGCACCTCGTTTTTTTAAAAAAAAGGGGTGGAGTGAATGGAGATGTTTTTAGAAGGTTTCCTCCTTAATTATCTTTGTATTAAAGGAAAGGTGGTAATGCCTCAGTACATGTCTCCCAAATAAAAGGCAGTAGGAAGAAAAGAGAATTGCACGTTATGGCAAGACACTCTCTACAGATGGCCGGAGTGAGTAATGGACTTCAATCAGAGTGCACACTGAGGGAGTCCCCATCTTCCATGGGGATGTTTGTCACCACATGGCTTTGGGAGGTCAGACTCGGAGCCACAGCGCTTCTAGAACACGAACGGTTTCAGCACAGGCTACCACTTCTAAAATATAAGTGTTTAAATGGACCTTTCTGTATTCAAATATTCATAGAAAATTATTTCAGGAGGACAAGGGGAAAATCCCCCTAAAAGAATAACCCATCAGTTAAAAAAGTTTAAACAGTTTTGAATACTATGTCTATATTTGGTTTGAGTTCTGGAAATAGGAAGTAAGAACAGCCTCATTAAAGATACAAAATGATTCTAAACCAACTCTAAAAATGAGGGTCAAGATCAGAAACACGGTTTGTATGTTTTGTTTTTAAACCAAAAGAAAAAAAAAAGGTGCTGACACATAGCACAAATTCATAATGAAAAATGGTCTTGCTAAAAAAAAAAATCCCCAAGTATGTCAGCACAACAGTACATAATGTGGTATCTTCTGCTACTTAAATGAAAACATTTAAAGAAGGGCAAGTTAAATCAGTAAAATCAGTCAGATAAAATCTACATGTAGAAAGGCTTTTTTTGCCTATTTCCACAGCTTGTGGGACTGAAAGGACTAACTGAATAATGACAGTGTAAACAGTTCATCAGTCCTAAAGGTCTGTTTGAGAACTGGTTTGCAGCAAGCACGTCCTCAATGGCCCAACCCCACAGTCCTCCTTCACCACCTTAAGGGAGCTGTCCTTCCCCAAAGTTCAAAAAGGGAGAAACAGAGAAACAGGTACAAATTCCAGAGTAAGCTTCAGACAGTACTGCATTTAAGTTCGTTTCCTGGTTGCTTTAAAGATTAGGAACTGAAGATGTATTATTTTAGTCAAGTGTTTCAGTTACATAAAATACGGGAAAATAGAATAAGAGAGCCCTGATCTCTCATTAGGTTAGTGTTGAAGGACCCTCTTTAGGAATACAGGCACAGCATTTTTCCTTTTTCTGTGTTTTTTTTGGTGTGAACACACGAAGTAGGGAGTTAAGTGTTCAGAGGAGAAAAGAAAAAGAGCCAAACCAGCTTAATAAAGGATCGGTCTGAAATGTGTTCAGACTAAAAATAAAGCCACAGTGACACCAAGAGGGGCCAGTGTAGCATAATCAAAGAGCACTAGAGCACTGGCTGGGGAAGTCAGAACTTTGCTCCCTCCAAGTCTCGGCTCTGGCTCTAACTATCCACTTTAGGTAAGTGGCTATCTTTTCGAACCTTGGACTACATGGTCGAAGGGCATTACTAAATGTAGCTATGATTTTTAAGTCAAATGATGGAAAATGAAAAACTTCAGCTGAGCGCTGAACTGAGGATAAGAACACTGTAGAATTAAACGGCAAAGATCACCCACAGAATAGAAATTTATTTCAGTCCCAATGGGTGGACAGGGCAATACAGCACAAATGAACCCGGGAACAAACCAACATTTGGTCAAATATGATATGGGGGGGAAACACACTGCCGCTTTTAAAGCCACAGCCAAACCTTAAATACCCAAACAAGTCCTACATTGATTCCAGGGGCCACATAGTAAGAGACTTTCTATTGAGAACAGTGTTTCCTGTAGAAAGAGGTATAATTAAGGCAGATCTCCGGGGTTACATTTTTAGGAATGTTCACGTACTGCTACCATTTAAATTTTGTTTTTTATAAAACCGGCCTCTGCTCTCCCAGCAGGGAAAAGAAAAGGCTTGCTTTATGATGAAACTCAAAAGCAGAGTTGCTCTATTTAATTTTAGACAGCTGTGTCTCCCCCTCACCAAAAACAGGGAACTCGGACACAAACAGGAAAGAGACAAAGTATTTCCCAAACTGGCTCCCTGGATCCTTCCACTGCTGTTCCTTAGAGAAGGAAGAGAGCGACCGGCCATGGCTACCATGAAGAGTCCCAATACTGAACTGCGGATTCCTACAGCAAAGGACCCCCTTTTCACTGCTCTGTGGAGGCCATCGCAGAACTAACAGTGGCTTGAGGTCATGCTGGTGGTGGGAAGTCTGTTGAGCTGTCGATTCCTTCCACTCAGCCCAGTAGTGAGAGCAACTGCGCTAGCCCAACACTCAAAACAAGAGGTGGTTCTGCAAGTTATTTCACAGCTACACATCACGCCTCGCTGTAATCGTTATATAAAAGGGTACCCACAAATCCTTTGCTCATTCCAAGTTGGGGTTTTCAGCCCCTTTGAAACAACAAAGAGTGTACCCACTTCAGAGGCCAGTAAGGAATCGGCCTGGCGGTCCAGCCAGAGCCAAGGGCCGCCTCGGAGCCACAGCGGTGAGCGCTGAAGTCATCCGCACAGAGGACACTTTTACATGACCCTCATCCCGGTTTATGCCATCACTCCAGTTCATAAACACCTCCAGGTTTTGAGAATAATTTTAGAAACCCAGCCAATAAAGCTGGCTCGTTAAAAAGAATAAAGCCATCTAATGAGCCAAAGGAGACAAAAGAAACATGACCAAGTTTTTTTCTTAGAAAAAGTTTTCTCCCTCAAAAGCTGTTGTGCACCTTGGGGGCCCGGGGCCCGCTGAGCCCAGAGTGGCCGGCAGCTCCCTGACAAACCCCACGCTGCAGCTGAGCTTTGCCAAGACATGTCAAGTTGCCAAAAGGTTTAACTGTTTACTAATTAGCATGGAACAGTGGAGGGCTGGAGGAAGTGAGCCAGGACTGACTTAGGGAAAGAGAAAGCAATGAAAGAAGTGGAGTGAGTGATCAATTACTTCCAGGCACTTAGAGATCCTCACAGATAGAGGAGGCCTCCAGAGCCCCTAGGGAGACCTGGCATCAGATGCCAATCTTCTTCAGCAATAAAGCAGCAACTTACCTCTTTGCTGTTTGTGGTGTATTTGAAAAGCAGATTCCTGGGTAAGGATGCCTCTGCCTGAACTGAAGTCCCTCCGTCGGCTCCAGAATCCCAGGGGTGATCATTCACGATGTATGTACACTTCTCTTCAAACGCAGCCTCTGTCCACAGAGTCATGTCCGCGTCCTCCATGTCCATTTTCATGGTCCCCTCCGTCCCCTCTGCCAACCCTTGAAACCTCACAGCGCTGGAGTCACACTTCGGGGCAGCCTGGAAGAGAAGGGCAAGGCCTTTAATCCCCATTGTCCTGTGGCTCCTCCGGGAGGCTATGACTAATACAGTAGTCTGAAGACTTTAAAAGCAGATGCGGAGTGCTTGGTACAGTTGAGTAAGAGCCAAAAGGCAGTATAAAGAAGACTGCCTTAAAGAAGCAGGGTTTTAGAATGCTACTCAAAGTTAAAAAAAAAAAGTGTGGCAACTTCATTGGGGGGGATAAAAAAAAACAACCACCTCTGAACAATCCCTGGCTTTACCTCTCACGGCAGAAAAATGTTGTGGGCGCTCAGTCCTGTGTCCCAGAACGCCTGGGGTCATGGCTGCCAGACCCTGGGCGCTGTGGAAAAGCTGCCTCAGAAGACTGTCACAAACAAGGAGAGGAAGAGGAAGGCGCTCTGTCTGCCTGTGAATGAAGCTAAAAATGGAAAGCGCGTGTGTTGCAGGAGCGGAACCCAGCCTGCCTTTTCCAAATGGGGAAGACTGAACTTTCCCACCAGCTCCCAATGCAAAACAACTTTCAAAACAACTGCCCCCCCTAACCCCCCTCTGCTGAGGGATCTCTTTTATCCTCTCGAGTCTGGAAAGGATTGCATCCTGCCAGCATCACCGAGGTGCAGCTTTTCAGAAATAGTTTGGACCACAGGAAAGAGGAGGGAAGATGGGCGAGGGGTTCAAACGCCCCACAGTGCCTTTAGACTTGTGGGCATCCCACGCCAAGTGGAAAAGCAAAAACAAAACATAAAACTGTTCAATAGAATTCCCGGGAGAGAATTCCTTCAGGAGCCCTCAGCTACAAATAGCACTTTCCATTTAAATCTGAAAGTGTACAAATTCCCAGAAGTCACTGATGTGCTACAGTTTACTGTAACTAAAGTTATAATAAATAGAGGAGACTCAGAGCACTCGCTCTGCTTCCACTTAAAAATGTGGAAGTGTCTCCTCACCCGCAGATAGTATTTTCCAGAGAGAGAGAGAGAGAAGGTAGACTACTTCTGCGCTGTTTTCCCATATACACATGCTTGATAAAAAGTAGGAACATGCCTAAGAGCCCGTGCCCCTTAGAATGTACACGTAACACCGGGTAAGTCCTTCAGGGTGGCTTCCACATTCTTCTGTCTCCTTAAACATGATGCTTTTTTTTTTAAAAAAAAAAAAAAAAAAGAAAAGCCAGATGCAAAGTTGTCTTTCCCTCCAGTTACGACCTAAGCACTCTTGCTTACTTTTACGGAGTTGCAACATGCACAGTCATGATGCCGAATACGTGTTAAAAATAAAACAAAACTTAAAAAAGTAAGCCCACCCGGAATCGTTACTTTGTTGGACGGGACCGGGCAGAAGCCACTACTGCAATTTCAGTGACTTGACAATGACGCCTAGAACTGAAAGGGTTAATGATTCATAAGGAAAAAGTCTTATAAATGTTTGACAGTTCTAAGTGCCTTCAAGCAGGAGCCTTTCTGGTTTCTACTGCGACGAGAGCAAAAAAAAAAAAAAAAAAGTTTTCAGATCAATTTCAGATTCACAGAGAAGATCCAAGTTCCTTACCGAGGTCGTACCCACACGTTTTTCCAAGCAAATATCCAACATCGGAGATCAGTGTCGCTCATCCCTACACAGTCCACATTTCCTCCGCGTCCCCTCGCGGCGCGGGCTGGAGACGGACGCGCACCGCGGCGGGTCCCTCGCGATCACGGCCGCCGGGCGCCGCGTCCCGGCTCTGGGCGGCGGACAGGTGCTGCGCGCTGCCCTCCTCCGCGAGCACTGAGGCCCGAGTGTCGCGGCGGCACTTTCAGTCTGCGCTAACCCGCGCGGCGGCTCTCCCCTCCCAGCTGCAGATTTCCCATTTGTCTGATTGACTCAACACCAGCGCCTGAAGTGGGGGCGTGGCCTCACCTGCACCAGCGCAGCCTGGCCCGGCCCCGCGCTTTCCCCCATCCAGAGCCTCCGCGGCTCAGCTTCCTCGGTTCGCCTGTGATTTCAACATTCATCCTTCTTCCCTTTGAAGGCACTTACCCTCAGCGCTGACTCGGGCTGTTATTGTATTCTAAATATTCCAGACCGCCCTCCTTCCTGCTGAGGCTTTTTCGGGGGCGGGAAAGGGCGGGGGGGGGGGGGGGGCGGGGTGCACGCACGCTTCTTAAATTAAGGGAAACCTAAAAATTACCTAAAAATTTTGTAGTTCCTCGGCTCAAATCCAGTTACAGATTACACGAAATTTATTTGGAAAGAGCAAGTGAAATTATTTTTTTAATCTAATGTAATAAAAGGTTGCTGTCTAGTCCTCAAGCTATTACCCATGAAATACATCACACACACACACACACACACACACACACACACACACACACCTGTAAGCTTCCATTTCTCCTGTTAACTAAAATGGATTCAAATTTGGCAGAGCTAACTTCCCCTTTTCAACTATTTAGTAAATAGGGAAATAGGAAAAAGTCATCATCCTACAGATTAACGTGTTTTTGCCTTTTCTCTCCCCCCCAAACCCACAGCCAGACTTCTGAGAAGTGTGTAAGCATGTAGTGTATTAATCGTTTCCCAGTTAAAGGGAATGTTGAACAGGTCATTCCAAGTGGAGGGCAGACAGAGGCAGTAATTAGTGGGGCTCGTTGGAAGCCCTGTCGTTCGTTCGGAGCCCGGCTTTTCCTCCAGCCCCAGTCAGTCCTTAGTTGAAGGAAGGACATCCTGTGATGATGGCATACAATGTCCTGTTTGTTTATTATTAAGAGCGTAGACCTTGCATTCCTGCTTCTCATTACAAAACAAACCAGATGCTTTACTTCCTTCCATGGCCTTGTGCCTTCAGCAAGGAATCCTCTAATTCAGAGAAACAATGATGCATAGGGTCCATTTACAGCAGGCACCCCTTTGCAATTACTGTGTAGATCGCTGACACAGTCTCCCACTTTTCCTGCTTGCCTCATAGAGGTGGTTGTTTTTAAAACCATCTCTCCTTCCACCTTTGGCTGCAATGTCTTTTCTTTATTTTAAATACACGTGTGCCTACACACCCACGTCTCAAAACACACACACACACACACACACACACACACCCACGTACACACACCCAGTCTCAACATAATAATACCAACTTAGTCATACAATGAAGTGGACATCTGAGTATTTGTTTACAGGAAGAAACAAAATCAAGCAAAACAAAATCCCAACTCAATCATAAAAATATTGTCTGTTTATCTTTAAAATTTCTTTTCTCCTTTTCAGGATGCTTTTCTAGAATTTTTTGGGGGGAGTTAGGGGGGAAGGGGATGGGAAGCCAAAGATTATGTGCCAGGAAATGTTTTTTGTGTCGAAAACCCTTCCACAACCTCTGTAGTACAGAATAATTAAATTCCCACTAGGGGACATAAGTAACACACTCTCTGCTTACAGCCTGGTGACGTGTTGTTGCACACTGAGCCAGAGGGGACGCTAGCACCAAGAGGAAACAGGACTTTTAGTTGGCAGATGTCTAAAACGGAATGAGCAATTCCTAAGAGTTCTCAGAAAGCTCCAAGATGATAATTAAACAAGAGAAATCCAGCCTTCTTGAGAGGGTTTACTAACTGATGCTGAGTCAGCGCCACAATGGACAGAAAAACAATGTAGTCATACTGAAGGCCGGCCTGCTGTTCAAACAGTCTCGCCTGCAGATGTTCAAGAGGACCTCACTTCCCTTTCAGAATCCAACTCTGCTCTTAGGCCACATATACCATGCAAGTCCTGGTGAGTCAACCAGGATGGAGTAAGGGAATAGGCAAAAAGTTGGATATTTGAGGTGGGAAGAGGCTATTTTAAGCCAAATATTTACTTCAATGACTGGAAGATGCCAGTGAATCAACTCACTGTTAATTAATATCAGCCTGCACTCACCTTCAGAGGTGGTGAAATGGGCTTGAGTCTAAGGAGGACGCAAACTTCAAATACCAGTGTGGGGCTTAGCCAGGCAACCCTAAAATTAGTTCCAGGTGTTCCAGCTGAGCTGGCGAAGGCACGAGTGGAACCTTAAGGAAAGTAAATTTGGAGACACAGAGTGTTGGATTATAAAACTCTTCAAATCTTTTCTTCTTGTCTGAAATAATACCAAAACAACAACAACCACACACCCCTAAACCAAACCATTTTTAAAAATTGCAATTATAGCAGTCAAGGATAGGCAATAATATAAGTAAAACATGCCAAAAAGGAAGAAGGAATGAAGGAAAGGAAGCCTCCCGCATAATAAGAAAAAGCATGTTCATATAGTCATATTTAGGTACTGTCCAGCACAAAATAGTTAAAGGGGAAGGAACGGGGTGACCTTCTGAACTTCACTCACCCCTTCGAGAAGGCCCAAGCATCACATTTAGAATGATGACGAAAGCAGGACGATGCTGGCATTGGTACAGCTGTGCAGAGAGGGCTATCTGAGGTTGCCACTGTCTGAGATCTCAAGTCTCACAATGTTTGTTTCCAACTAATAATTTGGCCCATTTTTAGTCACTATATTATTTTCCTCCCTGTTTTTTTCCACCAGGAAAAAAACCAGCCTCAGTTACCTTTATTAATCAGCACTTCTCAGGCAGAGTTCTCTCATTAAGGCTGTTCCTAATAGCAGCAAATCATGAAGGACCTAAATAGCTGGCTCTCTGAAACCCCCATATGTTCCCTTTGATGGTATCATCACAACGGCTCAACCAAACCTTGCTACTCAGTTTCAGCTACTGGTCCCGGCCCAGTCCTTGGGTGGGTTGGGAACTGCAATGTAAGGGGCAGATGACTGGAGAAGACTATTGTAGAATGAAAGGAGATTGAATACCAAATCTGGAGACCTGACTTCACTTGGGGGGGGAAAGATTATTTTTTTTTTCCTAAGGAAAGTAAAAGATGGGATGAAATGTGCCTGAGATGAAACGTGTTTTCATTTTCTAATTCAACTCCTGCTTTAACCAAACAAGGTCAATGACAGACTAACCACATCAAGAGAACACCCCCCACCCTCTTCTCCCCACTCCCTACCCACCCACCCACCCTCACCCCCCACGCCCATTTCCCACTTCCTGTGAGTTAGGCATCTTCATGCTGGTAAACATTTGGGGACCAACTGCAAGCCTGAGCTCTCTGAGAGGGGCACCGCGGCTTTGAAGCGCTCCCACATGTCTCAAAGCCAGGCTGAGAACTAGGGGGACACTTGCTTTTTAAACGTTAACAGCCTTTTGAACTCGAATCATTGGGCCCGGCTTCCTGGCAGCCTTCCTTTTCTAACGCTGGACAAGAAGAACGAGTATGTGTGAGTGAGAGAGAATGTATGTATGACACATGCTATGTTACAATGTAGCGTGTGTGTCATTGGTATGATATGTGTATGATGTTTCAGTGTGTTGCATCAGTTTAAAAATAGCACAAGGCTTCCTTCTGGTGACATAGCTCACCACCCAACACTTTTGACATACACCTTCAGGGCCTAAACCTTGGGAAGATCCTAGGGGGCTGTGGACGTTTTGAAATGAGGTCGGTGTTTTGACTTCCTAAATAAGAGAAACAAAAACTAAATACATTAAAGAATCCAAGTTGAGCTTCCTCTCTGTCTCTAGGAAACAAGATCTTGTACCTGCCACCCAGAGGACTTTATAAGACCCATACAATGTCTGAGGTCCCAGTATTTACCAGACCACCTGTTATCATTACACCTAAGTGTCTTTTTTTTTAGCCCTCTCTTCAGATAGGCAGTTGTGTTTTTATCGAATCATTTATACATTTTTAAATTGAATTGAGTTTGACATCCACCAACTTAATAAATAAGAATTATAATCATTTCCATATAAAGTATGGGGAAACCAAGATAGGTTTCCAGTATTTGTTTTTCTTCCTAATTATGTTTTTATTTTATAAGTGAATATTCAGAGAAAAGAGGGATTTAAATTTCTGAAAAGGCCGCGGGGAAGGACACGGGAAGGCAGATTATTTCTAAACCCAGAAAACACTTCCTATTGTACATTGGTGGGAAAAGGACTAAAACGAAACTAACCAACAGAAGGCAAAATGTGGACTGTATGTGATAGGGAGAGAGAGCAGAAGGAAAGGTGTACATTTGGAAACTCGGCGGTCTCTACCCTCCTCTTCATTTAGGGAAGAGGAAGAGTAGCTTTCACACAACAGAAGGAAGACGTGGGGCAAATGTTTGTTTCTCTCACCTTTCAGTAGGAGGAGAGGCCACACTGAAAGAGGGGTGGACTCAAGGTGGAAATAAAGAGGGAGGTTATAGTTAGGAGCACTTTACTAGAGTAAGATGAAAGACGAGCAAGTTGGCTTACAAACAAAGGTGACCCTGGCCAAGTTGCTCAGTTAGTTAGAGCATCATCCCGATCTGCCAAGGTTGTGGGTTCAATCCCTGGTCAGGGCACATACAAGAATCAACCATGAATGCATAAATAAGTGAATGCATAAATAAGTGAAACAACAAATCTATGTTTCAATCTCTCTCCCTCTCTATCTAAAATCAAGATATAAAAAACTTAAAATTAAAACAAAGGTGAAGCGAAGAGCAGCTGTGAGGCGAGGAGAGCCATCGTAGGCCAGAGCAGGAATGAGTGCCCCACAGTTGAGCCTGTGTGCTTCCCTGAAATCACAGAATGTTAAACAAAGGATCAAGGAGGATTTCTTCTTTAAAATGGGACTGCCGCCCAGCCGGTGTGGCTCAGTGGTTGAGCGTCGACCTATAAACCAGGAGGTCATGGTTTGATTCCTGGTCAGGGCACATGCCCAGGATACAGGCTCCTTCCCCAGTAGGGGGCGCACAGGAGGCAGCCAATCAATGATTCTCTGCCA